TCAACAAACACAAACCACAACAACTGCACAATCAAGTAAAATAAATTACAAAATGCAAGCGCACAATTGAATGAAAGAGCAGCAAAAAGACGAGGAGATATAAAACAGCAGCGGGTGAAATCATCGAGAATGAGCAAATTTTCCACAATCATCGCACAAAGATAATTCCGCAAAACCGAAAGCCAAAAAAGGAAAAGCAATCAGAGAGGCAAGACGACTAAAAAAGCAACGCAACATAAGAAACTAAAACCAATTTGAAGTGATAATCAATAAATGAAAAAAAAACACGCGCAACGCAAAGCAAAATCAAATTAAAAGGCTTTAATAGCAATAGACAACATAGCAACAACACCAATCAACAACTAGAATATATATGTGATAAAGTCAAGTGTAAATCAGAGTTTGAGTGTGTGTATGATGAACGGTGTGCAATCATAAATAAAAGTTTCATGGGGCTTATTGCATAAATTCCCGTTAACCGTTAAGAGTGATAAGGTCCGACGCTAAGGTCCCATAAACCCAGATTGCGTGTTAAATAATACATGGCCGAAAAGACAGAGAGCAGCGAAACAGCGAAAGATTAGGTTTATTCCCATAACTGCCATTTTCAACATTACTTTCTCCGATGTCGTTCACTTTCCCGAGACTCGAACCTCAACTACAACAACCAACACACCAACAAAATCACCAATAACAACAACTTCAACAACTCAATAAAAAGTAGAAAGGATAAGGATTTAATTGAGAGACAAGCGAATCGGCTTGAAGGGCGACATCAAAGCCACGCTGATGATGGGCTACATCATGGGTTGTGCTTGTTTCAAAGGTAGGAAAAAACAAGTGTTGAAGACAAGTGTGTATACACTGAGAAAAAATTGGGGTATTGGGATAAAATATCAATGAAATTTAGATTTTTAATTAATTGAAAACAATTATTTTATTTAAAAAACAAAAGACAAAAAAGATTATAGACAGATATAAAATTAAACACATTTGCAAGTAATTTAAAACTAATAAATTTCTTGTGATTTGTGTTCATATAAAATTTAATCAAATATGTAGGCAAATTTCAGAATGAAAAAATTAAATAAATTAATAGTTCAGTTGAATATTATTTTTTGTCGACCAGTGTAAATTGGAATGTGAAGAGTATGCGAATGAGAATGTGAATTGCGTGCCAAAGTCAGCAAAGTGGAATTCAAAATACTTCTAAAAGTTAAATGAGGGGTAAATTGGTACTCACTAAATTAACTTTTAGAAACAAATATTGTTTAAAAATATTATTAACTAAATGCATTATTTAAAAAAAAAACAAAATTGAATTTTGTTTTATGGAAGTTGATGGCATTTCTTGAAAGTAACATTGAAAAATGTGTTTACAAAAAGCGGTTAACCTTTAAGAAAAGTTATCCTCGCCCTTAAAAGTTTGAACAAAATAGTTTGCTTCTCTTTAGAACTAATCAAAGTTTTAGAGTAAATTTAATAAACTTTTAAGTTTTATGAAAGTTATTAGTCAGAAATACAGTGTCCTCCAGTCGATCCCCTTTCCACTAAATGCTTTTCAATTGTCAATCGTCAACCTGTCACCACCCACGGTTTTCCGATCCACTCGTTGGGCTTTTCCTTCCGCTCATTAGGCGAGAAAAATCTGAGGATAAAAAAGACTCGCAGCTTGAGGCTTTTCCCATTTGGTCACGCTTTTTTCGGTTTTTCTCGCATCCTGCTGCACACGCATTTTCGCATTTTTCTATGCAACGTCACCGAGACGACGTCACAGAAGCGGAAATGAGAGCCTGCGCTCTGCATCCTGCGCGCTCTTTATCCTTATTTTCTCTCTCCTCTGTTAAGTTTTCCTTTTAACATTCCCATAACACTTATTTTTAACATTTTTTATAGCACCTTGAGTATTTTCTTATTTTTTGTGCATTTCGCATGACGATTTTCTTCTCTGGTTTTTGGTTTTTGCTACTTTTTATCGTTTTTACCGACTATACTTTGTTTTTTGCCTTTTTCGTCCTGCCATTTGGTTGTGTCCCTGTGGGTGAAAATAGCTCGATAGCCTTTTTGAGTGCAATGTGATTTTTATGTTGTCTTTTGCACTTTCCTTGTTGTTTTCGCTTCTGGCTGAATGTTTGTGGATTTTTTGTTTCGGTCCTTGAGTTTGTTTATCTGGTTAGATTGGAATACGTAAGGTATATAACGTATACGAGGCGGTGGCTTGATTTGTTTAGAGGTGAAGTGCACTCTCTGTTTACCTTGCGGTCTTTCTGTTTGTCCTGATTGTCAGTCAAACTCAACCTTGACTGCACTTTATTTCATCGGCTGATCGGTTGTTAGTTTGGGGTTAATTTTTAGTGGATGTTAACCTTTAGAGCAAAATATCTTGCGGAGAAATATTTATTTTAAGGTTGTTTATCTTTTGATTCAAAAATAAAAAAAAAATTAAATATTATAAGAAATAAAGGTAGTAATATAAAAATGTTTGTACTATTTTAAAAGGCATATTTAATAAGTCTCTCATATTAAATGTGTTGAAGAATTTCGGGTATTTACTTTATTTTTAACACCTGGTATTTTAAACTCTGTGTGAATGGTTAGCATTCTTTGACCATCTCGTTTGAGGCATTTCCTGTGACTTGCGATGGCAGAGAATGCCTTTGGGCACTTAGCAGCCTCCTTTTGCTGCTTTTAGCCCCCTTTCTCCCCACTTTCTCCACCTTTATCTAGTCCTTGCTCTTGCATTCCATAAACCACGAAGTATGAGTAAGCACTTAACCCTTTCTTTGTCCGCTTTCTCTTACCTCTTTCTCCTTTCCCATTTCTCATTTCTCCTTCTCCAATTCTCTTGCTCTCTTGCATTCCTGACACGCATTGCAAGTCTAACCTTTCACATTTATGCGTTGCACACGCCCATTTGCCGCCCCCTTTTTCTCTTCTGGTTAGTTTTATTAAATTTTTGTGCTATTTTTACTGATGCAATTTTACAGCGGAAGCGAGGAAATCGAGACAACCGTGGAGAAAGTGGGAGAAAGGGTTGAGTACGGAGAAAGGGGGAAGGAGGCTGCCTAAGTGCTTGGCCCATTAAAGTATGCAATCATTTTGCGGTTAGTTGCCCTTGTCTTCCTTCCTCCTAAATCACTTCAACCCCTCACCACCACCTAGCTTCTCCAGTTTCCAAAACCCCTTTCCCTTCAGCAATTTCCCCGCTTTTACGGCTGCATAAATTCCGCCACTGGCAATCGCCTTTAACCACTTTGCTAATCCATTATAAGGTCGCCAGTTTCTTGGCAGGATTAACCATTCCTCAAGGTGTTTTCTTGGTTATTAACAGGTGCACTATTTTTTGACTACCTTTTTGAGTGGCTAATTTATAAACAGGACTATAAAAGTACTCAAATTCTACGCAAAGAAGGTTTTCTTTCTATAACCTTAAGCAATTTCTTTGGGTTTTAAATTGAACTTGGCTTTTAAGGTATTTTAAAAATATTTATTTGGTTTTGAGAAACTAATTCGCTATGAATACTGCAAATTATCTATAAGGTAATTAATATATATAACTATAAATTGATAATCTTTCTGAAATGCGATATTCCTCAAAACTAAATGGTATAAAAAATCCCTTTCATCTTTGACATTTGTGCCATATTTTTTTTGTTTTGCGTTGTCTGATTCTGTGGGCCAAGTTCATTCATAAACAAATTAGTGGAATTTCTTTTCTTCTTCTTCCAAGTCTATGCCCCCACAATTTAATCGAAAACACAACGTACCGCCCCTCAATTTTTCACCCCTCTCGTCTCGAAGTGAAACACACGTAGAAGCTACGTATAAATAAATAAATAAACAAGCGTTTAATTGAACCGGAAATTATTGTGTGTGGGTTGTGTGTATGCTTCTTCTTCTGCATCTCCCATGTGTGTGTGTGTGAGTGTGTGCATTGGTGTGCGTGCGAGTGTGTTTCTTATTGGAATTTGTTGTTCACTTTTATTTAGTTTTATCCCACAGATGTTGTTGTTTGTTCGGATTGCGTTTTAGCTCTTCAACTTGTTTGCCCAGTTGGTTTATTGTGGTTGAAAAGAGAAGGGTATACTGGGGGGTGAAAGAGACAGGGCGAGGAGATTACAAGCTAGTTTCTCGCTTTGGGCCAACAAAAATATATACATGTTCCTCTGATTAGTTTTATTCTCGGTTTTGGTAACAAGTGCCAGAGATTTAAGCTGTAATAGGATTATGTAGTAAAGTTTCTTGAATATTTATTGTAACACTTAAAGAGGTTTTCTTAGAGTAAAAGCTTATCTACGGTTAAATTGGGCTAACTATTATTTTTATTGCTGGTTTATTGTTAATTTTATCAATTTTTACGGGGGGAAAAAACTTTTGTTCGTATTGAGATGTTGTATTTACATTTGCAATAAAACAAATAAATGAGAAAATGAAATCCAATTTAATTTTATTGTAACTTTAATTGTGATCATTTCTACAAAGGCATTATTAGAAAAAAAAAATTTTTATTTGTTAATTCCAGTAGTTGAAAATTAATTAAATTTCCTACTAGTCTGTTAAATCAACAATTAAACATTTAAGTAGCTTTACAGAGAATTAGGTATTCAATTCATGATGTTATTTAGAAATGGGGGGGGAGTTCCCTACCAAATCCCATTAATATGCAACCCCTCGCATTAGCGTGATATTTTCGATGTGCATGTATGGGTGGTGTATCTGTGTGTTTGCTTTGTGTATCTTGCAGCACTTTCTGCTAAATTACAGTTGACAGCCGTTGCATGTTCCGACTTACGATACTCGACATTTTCCATTTCCATTAATGGCTACTCAGCCACGCCCCCAACTTGTTGAGTTAAATATAATATGACGTTATTTATTTGACTGGAGACCTTCGAGGAGCTATCTTCAGTGGATAATCGGGTGTCCCAATACCATAATTACCCGGCTGGAGGACTATAAAGTATCCTGCGGACAACGAAGGACACTTTAGTGCCGCCAAAATGTCTCGAATTGTGACAGCTTTCAATATTACGGTTGTGGAATATTTTCGAAAAACCAGTCTCAATGGTTTCGGTCTGCTTTACTTTATCAGAAAACGTAAAATTCAGAGAATCTTTTGGTTTTTGTTTATTAGCTTTGGCATACTTTTTGCTGGCTATGCCGTATTCGAAATGATTCTGGATTTTCTCAGCTACTCAACTGTTACAGATCTCTCGGAATTTAAAGTAGCAGAAGAGGAAATGCATTTTCCTGAGCTAAAAATATGTAGTGGGTATAGATTTAGTCGCAGGAAAGTGCTTAATTACGTAGAGGATTTGGGTAATCCTAATAACAAATCCCAGGAATTTTTTTGAAGGAATTGTCATTGCTTTCTGGGTATTTTGCTCCTTTGTCTGTTGATTCAGAGGAGGTTTTCCAAGTAAATGCTTTTCTAGATATAAAGAATATTACTTCTCTTTTATTGAGCTTAACTCCCGCTTGTGAATCTTTAATATTAAGTTGCAAAGTTAATAAAATCTCGACGAATTGTTCAGAGTTATTTATATTAAAGGCTACCAGTCTAGGCAATTGCTGTGTTTTAAGCAAGGGAAATCTCACAGGAGAACTTTCCCTTTTTCTAGATTCCTCACAAGAAGATGAATTTCCTTTAAAAGATAACTTTCCCGGCTTTAGTTTACATGCTCCAAGTTGGCTGGGTAGAATTAGCATTAACCCTGGCGAAATGGCAGCTATACAAGTTGAAGTTATGGAACTTCAGGGAAATCCTCAATTAAAAGAGTATGCCATAGAAAAGCGAGGTTGTTATTTTCCTCAAGAGGGTGAAAGTGAGGAGAAGTGCCTCAATGAGTGTAGAATAAAAGCCACGTTAATTAATTGCCAGTGTGTGCCATATCCATTCGAGTTGAGCAAGAAGAACTTTAAACATTGCACTTTGGAGAATATAAGTTGTTTGCAGTTGGTCGAGAGTAAGTTAACATTTTTTCTCGCTTTATAAAACTCTTCAATAATAATTAATTATAATAAAAACCCAGAGAATTGGTCGCCATCTCAGTGTCCCGATTGTTTGCCGCTCTGCAATCAATTGTTTTATAGACTAAAGAAACAAGTCGAGGGCAAATTGCATCCTTGGAGGAGTGAATTGAATTTTAAATTCAAAACACCACATCGCCAGCTGTACAAAACAATCACACTCTACCATTGGTATCAGATGCTGTGTGAGTTTATTTAACTTTTTAAAGATGCAATCCAATTTGAATATATATTTAATTAAACCCCAGCAAACATCGGTGGTGTTCTGGGCATTTGCATTGGCTGCTCCTTCATCAGTTTCTTCGAGTTGATCTACTTCATGGTCTTTCGTTTATGGTCCAACTATCTTCGGCAGCCAGAGATTTAATTAAGTCAAATGTTACACATACGCCGTGTGGGCAAATTTGTTGTGATTCATCTCGGTGACAACGTGCGAGCGACAGGGTCGCATTAATCTTGATGACTTGAATTGTAACTGAGGCGAAATAAATGAGTGAAAAAAGGATGGAGAGGGTGGGGTTCATGGGCGGTGGTGGGTGGGGTTTAGCTGGAGTGTGCCGATCATCAAGGTTAAGTGGTCTGCTGAGCCTCTTTTTCATCGTCTCGGCTTGTTCGCCATTCGTTGACTGGGGGCCACTTGACGACTACTGAACGGCAACAAAAAGATTCAGAGAAATGTCTCTCCTTGTATGTGAACTGTAAAAAAGTTTATACATTTAAAAATATAAAAAAAAAAACACTTTTAATTCCGTTTTTTGATGGAAACCCTTGTAAATAATAGTCAGATCTTGGAATGTCATACCTCGTTGAATTCGTTACGAAATTTCAAATCGATTGGTATACTCAGCTCAAAAATTTTATTTTTGGCCATATTTGGAAAAAAAAGCCAGTGTTACCCCTTATCAAAAATGCGAAAATTGGTCTAAAAATAAATTTTTAAAAATCCATCTGGAATTAATTGTATAGGTTCTCAGCTGCACAAAACAGTCAATGTTTTGGCTGTGCGTCTTATTTTGGCAAAGTTACAACAAAAAACCTTAAAAAATGTGTCTTAAATATGTTTTTTTACGACCAAAATCCAGAAAAATACCATTGTTTTTTAAGTTTTTAAGCAAAACCCTTGGAAATAATGGTCAGATCTTAGAATGTCATATATCGTTGGATTCGTTACAAAATTTCCCATTCATAGGTATTTACAGCTAGAAAATTTTATTTTGAAATCAAAATGAGAAAATCAAGGTCCCTTATCAAAAAGAAAAATCTCAAAAAAAAAATTTACCAAATCCACCTGAAATTGATTGTATGGGTTCTCAGCTGCATAAAACAGTCATTCTTTTGTCTGTGCGTCTTGTTTTGGCCAAGTTACTACAAAACACACATAAAAAAGGTGTTTATAAAAGATCAAATTGACCCAATTTTCGATAAAAATTATGAATTATACATTTTTTCAAAAAAAACCTGGAATGCTTAGTTTTTTAAAAAATATTATTTTTTAATGTCCAAAAACCCCGAAATAGTGTACTTGAGTTTCAGTTTATTGATCAAACAGTGGTCAAATGTGGGAATGCACTTTCTCGTTGATTTCGTCATAAAATTTCGAATCCATTGAAATTTTGTCAATTTTCTATTCTATTTTATTATCTGTATTTTATTCTCTTTAGTGTATTTTCTCTCAGTGAATTGGTGTGGGTGTGAATATCTTTCTTAAGTGCACCATGACGTGCGTTTTAATATATTGATTTTTTTCTCAAACGACTTGTCAACTTTTGAATAATAAAATTGTTCTTTCTTTCGTTGCAGGTGAGTTTTCCCAAGAAAATGGTGTCCCTACATTCAATAGCGTAAGTTTTATAACGTTTAAGATTTAAATTTTGAAAAACCTGCTAACAGAAAATGTAAATGGTCTGATAAATAACAGGGAAAAGCTTACAGAAGCTTTTGAAAGTAAGAAAATTGGCTAAGAAGGATTTTCTTTGGAAAAGCTTGTACAAAAAGCTTTTATTTTGGGGGCTTACATTGTGTTAAACAAAGTGAAATTTATATATCATCAGATAACACAAATCATGTTTAATCAATTGAAATGTAAGGCAGAGAAACTCATAAAATCAAACTCAAACCATGAATTATCAAAAATCTGGTGATAAAAACTGCAATCTAAGCATGGAGTGAAATCTAGGAGCTGCACACACATTTTAATAGTCTTCTGGGGGCAAAAAACATTGAGCAAGGCAAGGCGAACGTCTCCATTAATTTTAAAACCGCCAACTTATCAGGGCAGCGCGTCATGGTCCTAAGTGATTTTCCCCAGCTTCGTTGATTTACGGGGAAAGTGGGAAAGCGGATATCTGCTCTATATTTTACACATAGAGCCACTGAACGCAAGGACATGCGATGCCGTGTCCTTCACCTTCCCTAAAAAAAAAATGAGGAAAAATTTAAACATAAATATCTTTGAGCGGAGGAACCTTCGGCATTCCTTTTAAAGTATTCCGTATGCGGCGGCGGCGGCTTGTTCTGACATTATTATTTTTTATTCCTCTCGCTTTTTATTTCCCGGTTGATGAGCCGCTGATCAAAGGCATTCCAGACTGGCTTTTCCGGGCAACAGTTTCGGGGAAAATTGAATTGGTCCCGCTTAATGTGTCACATTACACTCATTTCAAGAGGTTCGATTTAGTGGCAACTAATTTGGTAAATTTGAGATGGGTATTGAGTGAAAATAGCCCTCAGGTTTTTTGGAGAAGAACGTTATTTAATGCTTGGTTATCCATGATTTATTAATTTCTGTTTACTAAAACATTTGGGAGAGTCTTCATATAGCAACATAAAGGGGGGATATTTTAAGAAAAATACTTGGAGTAAATACAGCTTCGAAAAATATACTTATACTTATTCTAAAGACTTAAAAAAAAGGGTAAATTTTTTCTTAATATTTAACAGTTTTTAAAGTAAACGTAAATGCCCAAATCAATTATTTCCTTTTTTACAAAATAATGTTTGACGAGAAGATTTAATTCACTTTACACATTTAAGGTGTGAAAAAGTGGTTTAATTTCTTTTGAAGTGGACATTACCATTAGCAACATGTGCAGAAACCTATTTCCAAAGGTCGTCTGTATGTGTGGGCAGTTGAAGAAAAGTTTTCGCTGCAAACTTGAAATGAAATTGCTTCGAATTAAACATTTCGAGCAGCTTAAACTTGTGTCTCAAATTGCCTGCCATTGTGTTCGGGGCTCGACAAACTCCGATCGGATGTGGGCCCCAAGGACATTCAGACATACCCAAATAGGACTCCGTTTCCCTTCCTTCACCTTCAGAGTCCTGCATCGATGTTGACTGTCTCATTTGCATAATTCTAATATGGAACATTTTTGGCCAGCAACAGCAGCTTCCTCAACTGTCCACCTACACCCATACACCCATACACGCCCATACACCCACACACACACACACACACACACCCATGCACACACGTACTTGGTTTTCGTCCTGGGCCAGGAGATTTGCATAAATAAAAGCGTAGTTGTGTCCTTGTCAACGTAAATTACGGCCATTTGATTTCGGCAATTACAACGCATTTTTGTGCAACAATTTTCCCTTTTTTTTCCCCCGCCTTTCCCCCGCATGATTTATATATTTTTTCTGGCGGGGCGATTTCAATTTAAGCTGCTCACTCAACTTCGACATGTTGGCCAAGTTAATAATGAGCTTATCCTTGGACTTGTCTGCAGTCGACAATATTTATTGTTGCTGTCCTGTCTGCAGGACTTCCTCTGTGATTTTTCCATTGTTCGCGGTTATTTTCCTGCAACCAAGTCGCAGCAATTTGGCTCTCGTCCCAAAAAGCAAAAAAAAAAAACCAATAAATAAATAGAAGGAAGGTAGACAACCTTGGCCATGAGAAGGACTTTCTATTTATCTATTTGGCCAACGCCAAGTTGCCGACTTGTTTTTTGGGCTATTTGCATTTTGCGGGCGGAAAATGAGAATGAAAATGATTATCATTTGTTTTCGTTAAGTTGGCTAAAACCAAACTGTCCAGAGCCAACAAGTTGTGGCAGCTCATAAAAATGAATTACGTGCGACGGAGTCCCAAGGATTCCGTAGTTTATCTAAGCTTTTCCTTCTGCATTCTGCCTTTTGCCTAGATTTTTCCCAGATCTCCAGGACTAAGCTTGTTTGGTGCGGTTTTTGGGAACAAGGCAACAGCATATTCACTCTTCTACGACACGGGACAGTTTTGTTGTGGTTTAAAGGAATGCAAATTGAATTTGGCGGGGTAAATTTATGTATGGCGAAATTCGTAAAATATGCGTTTGATTTCAAAGCCATACAAGATTGGAGTTGTAATAAATGTATTTCCATATTTTTTTCTCATCAATTTATGCTCACGCGGAAGTTATTGCGTATCATATTTTTTTAACTTTCAGTAGATTACACAAAATTTACAGAAAAAAGAGGATAAAGAAAAATATAATGTTAGCGCAAAAAAATCGTTGTGTTATAGAACAAATTAAAATATAACCAATGTATGACCTCGAGTAAACCAATAGCTACAAAAAAATATATTTAATTAATTTATTTAATTTAAATTAATTTTTGAAAATAATTTAGATAATAAAATGTACGCCTTTTGTGAATGTTTAATTGTTTAAATGTTTAAATTTAATTAAATTTCTTAGCTCAAGAAATAGAAATACAATTATCTTAGCCTTATATTCTTTGATCTCAAATTTACATTGAACATTAGATTCTTCAAATTAAGTATGCCAAAGTCACTGAGGAATTTCTCCGTTGGCAAACAAATTGAATCGTTTCGTCCGATTACAAAAAAATAATTCAAAATAATTTGTATCGATTTTCGTGAAGAGCTCCTCTTTTTTTGCTCCCCCAAACGACTATTTTGCCTGCATCAATTCGTCCTTTGCGATTTACATGATTTTCCTTTGCCTTTGCCTTTACCGACTTTCCAATCCGCTTTTCCGCATTTCCCCCGCTGCCCTTGACCATTGTGTAAGTCGAAGTCTTATGCAAATGCTTTCAGGGACGAGTCCTCTCAATCGTGGAGAGCTCCTGTCGTCCTGTCCGTTCAATCAAAGTTGACACTGCCTGGCGGGAACATCCTGGATGTTCGGGATTGTCATTTTCAGTGTTGCGTGTGGGCGTCGTTTTAAAGTGATTTTATTTATGCAACGGCATGTGCTCGCTGAGCTGAGTTCTTAACCGAATTTCGAATGCAAATTTTGCACGTGCTTCGTCTTTGTGTGCGTTTAATTATTAAAATTTAATTTGGCCAATTCTTAAGCTTGCCTCGGCCTTTTTCCCAACCCGAAAATCAAACTGGTAACTGCTCTAATATAGGGGACACCGAGTCCTTTGTCTGGCGAGCAAACAACCTGTTTGCATCCTTAAAAAAAAATCTAAAATATGACCCGAAATAGTTTCTTTTCATTTTTTTCTGAGGACAATGGCACATCATTGTTATTCCTGTTGCTCCTCTCTTTTAGCTGATAAATTTCTGATGACTTGCGTCACTGGCATTTTTAATGCAAAAGGAAAAGTTTCCGTTTGCGTAAGAGAACTGGGCAGCATTTTAAGAGAACCAAAAAGCTTTCCGATTTTCCCAGCACGTGCCGTTTTTGTCGGCGAAAAGCGAATTCAAGTTCAAGTCGCACAACATTGAAAGCCAAGTTCACAGGCTCCAAGGCTCCCTCGCCCTCTCTCTTTCTATCCGTGTCATGCTCTCTCTTTCTGCGGCGCTGACTATGTATTTTTGTGATTATGTAAGCAGTTTCTGTGTTGCTCCAACTATTTATCCTTTGTTGATTATTATTTACTACCATTTCAGCAGATGGCATATAAAATATATAACAAAGAAGACATTAACAATTTAGTTTAGAATTAAGTTAAAACGGTAATAATATTTTAAAGAATATTGTAAAGAAATAAATTATTAATTTAGAAATACTTGATTTCAAACAAAGATATATTTCAAATATATATATTTCAGAAAATAACTATACAATTAAATGCAAAAAGTTGTTATATTTTATATGCTGTTAGTACTAAAATAAGAAAGAACAACATATGTTTTATCGTCTTTTATAACCTTCAAATTTATTTTTTAACAACTTTTTTTAAAACATATTTTTATAATGTACTTCAAATGTATATGAAGTTCTCTACGTTCTTTTGACAAGGTTTAAAAGCCTGCCTATTCCTTGTTTTTCCTACAGTTTTTCATCCTTGTTATCTTTAGTTTTTATTTTTGTTGAGGCCAAAAAATTTCAATTGCATTTTCGGGTATTTGTTTTTCATTTTCCTTGGCATCAAGGCTCAATGCTGGCAGCGCCGCCCTTTTTGTGATTCCTCACCAGCTTTATCTGTTGTTTGTTGTATGTTTTCTTTTTAGCCTTCTTTTTGCCGTTTCCCCCCCTTCACTTCCCTTGTCAATGGGAACAACAAAGCGGAAGGATATCCGCCGCCATAGTTTTCCCCGTCTTTTTCTTTGTCCCATCTGGCTGTCTCTTTCTCCGCACCTCCACCCGTCCCTTTCTGCGTGTTTTGGCATTCATTGCGTGCTTGTCTCACATATCTTAGCTTCTATAGCTTATATATGTTCGCTGCAGCATCCATAAAATTGTGTAAACTTGTGTTTTCTATACCAACTACTTGGCATTGGTTTTCCCTCTGTACTTTTGGTAAGAGATGAAGATTTTCCCTTGTTGCGCATTCGAAATGAAGTCTGATTTTCCCCGAGGGCAGCTCCAATGTATTCCTGGCCTTGATTAGCTTTCGGTTTCGCCCTGGAGATTCCGAGAATTTCAGTTCAAATCGCAGTACCACTGGTTTATATTTAGACCCGATGTTTAACCTTGTGCGCCAAGGCACACTTCCTTTTCGGCTTGTCACTATTGTGGGTTTCCCTCGCAGCCAGATGACAATGATGGAGCCTGGCGTTGATGGTGCGGGAATCAAAAGGACAGGGACACGGGCAGAAGGACATGGCCAAGGACGCGCCAGGAAATGAGAAGGGCGACACTCACTGCCATCGAGATATGACTTTGAAGTGTTTGCTCATCAACGCGAAAGTTATCTCCCCGACACTTTTCCCCCAACTTCAATAGTTTTCTGCGTAATGAACTTTCGCTGTAGAGGCTATCGAATAAAATGCACCTGTTAATAGGAATTATTTAACTTTGAAAAGGGGTAGTAAACTGCATATAAAAGTGAAAGTTTATTTAACCTAAATTATATATATATAAATATATAAGATTCTATGAAACAAGAGTTACAGAAAGCTTATGCTATTCATTCCAAAAACAGTAAAAATAAAAATGGTTTTGTATCAGCCCTAGAAATCCCTAAAATTAAATTGTTGAAACTTTAGTAAAATACATTTTATTTTGTAAAAATATTTTTAATCTTTTATAATATCTTAGGTCTATTTTTTATGGAGCTACCCTATAGTTAAGTCTATATCCCGTCGCCTGCTAATGACTTGGACTTGGGCTCTTTTAATTTGCTGCTTGTCTGCCACATGCCATTCGGCATTAATTTAGCAACAGTCTCCTTTTCCCTCCTTTGGTTTATGTTCACTTAATTACAATAATTCATCAACTTGTTTTCGTTCTATAGAAATCCAACCACGCTCCATGTTGATTAAATTCATGTTCCCATTGTTTTTCCTCTTTTATTGGAACGGGATGCAGATCCTGGGGACTTAATATGGAAAATGGGGAATATTATTTGGTTTGGTTTATGGTCTCTGCTTTCGGTTGCATGTGCAACAGGCAACACAGCAGCTCAAATAAATGGCCCTGACCATGGCAATTGCATTGACGCACACGAAAACCCCCTTGCTGCATTTTCCATTTTCCTCTGGCTGGCTAGCCGCAAAACTCCTGCCAGATGATTTCAATCAGACTGTGGGCGTGCATTAATGAAGGGGGAAATGGTGAAGGAGCGAAGGAAAATGGTGAGGGAGCGAAGGAAAATCGGGCGAAGGAAGGGGAAAATGGGGAGTGGACAGGACAACAGGCTTTTCGAGCCGGGCCAACAAACATGGCATAAACAAATCACACGCACACACACTCAACGGAAATGGCCAATGAGAGCGGAAAAGAGAAAATGCAGCGAGAGTTGGCAAGAGCTTTTCCTGGCCAAGAGAAAAACCCACAGCTTTCCTGCTCTTGCGAAAATCAGTGATGCGCATTTTGGCTTGGAAATTGGATTTAAAGTTAAGACCACCAATTAGAAAATAATATTTATAATAAATATTATTATACACATTAATAGGATAAATTAAATTTTGAATATTTAAAGAAATAATATTGCAAATTTCTTGATTTTGGATTATGATTACATTACATTTACAATTAGAATTTACAATTACATTTTATAAACAATGTTTCCAGCTTTAAACAATTTTAAAACTTTATTCCAACCTTTAAAATGTAATAAATAAAAAAAAACTTACAAGTTTCGAAACAAAAATTTAAACAATTTCGTGAGAAACTCCTAAACGGAGATAGTAAATTCTTACCATGATTTTGTAAAAGAAAAGTTAGTTTAATCCATTTTTAGAGGGCCTTAAAAATTCTTCGGAATTGCCAAAATGCTTAGGTGGCCCATAAAGTTACATGTGACTGCCAGAATAGTTAGCAAACTTTATCATTTGAATTCAGGCCTTAAAAACATTGTGATTATGCAATTTCACCTAAAGCGACATTATGAAACTTTGTCGCAATGGTTAAATTATGCAGGCGAAAAAGGATTGCAAGGTGTCATTAATAATTGCTTTATGTGGCTACAATGTGGCTAATTGACAGGGCAACGTGGCCGGGACTCGTTTTGGCCAACTAAGAGAGTGTTTCGGCCGGAGGTGGACCCAGCTGGTGGGTTCAACCACCAGGAAAGCTCTCTCTGCGCCGCTTATCAGTGGGTGATGCTGCTCCTCCGGAGGCTCGATGTTGGATGCTCGATGCCCGATGCTCCATTCTCGATTCTCGAAATTCTTGGGTGGTTGGACGACGACTTGTGTGGTTTTGGTCGCTGCTCGTCGCTCGTCGCTTTTCGCGCGGCGCTGCGATGTCATGAAAAACATTTGAACGGCTTCCGTGGGCCATCAGTTTGTTGGCAATTCTCGAGCCCGTCGGAACACAAAAAGATTTTCACACAAAAATATATTCCAAAATTAGAAAACAATTTTGAAAAAACAATCTCAAAAATATTTCGAAAAGCGCCAAAACAAAAGACACTAAAATAAATGCTTATCAATACAAAAGCCAAACAAATAGTGATGTGATACGAGGCGGATAATTGACGCGTCTTTTGAGTTTTTCCCTATTTTCCTTGATAACCTTTCTGTTATTTTTGGGTAATCTTTATGTTCTGCCATTTTCCAATTCTTTTTATGAGCTGTTAAACGTATTTATCGGCGAGTGTTTTTGTGTGTGCGCGAGAAGTTAATTTAAAATTTTGTATGCTTTGGCAATTTATGCGCGCCGTTTTTATGTGCTAAGCGAAGAAATCAACAACCAAATCATAAATAAATATTTTTGGCCGTGAATGAAATTGAAAATTGTGGACATACACAAAAATACGTATAGCGATTTGGGAACTAAGTGGAACCATTCATTTTGAAATTAAACAAAAAGTGCATTGACTTTGGCACGCAGGCAAAAACAGAACACAAAGTCAAGGTGTTATATTGTTAACTCTTGTTATTGTTGGCACTAAATGTTTATGTGCATTTAAATGTGCGTCTGCGAAATGCATTTTATTTGACGAATTTATTCAAAGCGCTAGCGGCTACGATATACTCAACAGCAACATATTAATTATTGCAATTTTTGTGTGTGATTAAAAAAACGTAAAATTGTAAGAATAGATTTAGGGAAATTCTAAATCGAATTTTAAAACAAGCTGATTCTTTTTTATGCAATTTATGTTGCGATGCAAATTTTATTTATTAAAATATTAACAAAGTGGTCCAATAAAAATTCGTTTTATAAACATTCTAGTATCAATATTTTATGTGACATTTAAAGACTACATATTTTACTTGATCATTTTATTAAATTATACCAAACATTAAAGCTAATATTAATTTCTTTATAAGCTAATCGATTAATTGTTTGTTTATTTAATTGCTCAGCTCCTGAAGAGTCAATAAATTAATCTTCTAGCAGTTTAGAATACCAAATGAAAGCCAATAAAGCCAATTACTCTCCCACTGATAAATTAATTGCATAAATTACTACAAATCGAAGTATCTATTGCTTCTCCATTTTCAATTCTAAATGCATCAGCAAATATTCCTCAAACATTTCTTGGCAATAAATTAGCAGAAACAAAACGAATATTTAAGCCGAAATAGAACTGAAACGTGAACAAATATTTGAGAATCAGCTACACACAAACACACACTCTACCAGCCACGCCCATTGGAAATAGCTATTATAAGTTTTATTTGCAACTAAGAAAAGTAAATTACCGAAAATTTCAATTCGATTGAGGCCAAAATAAACAAAACAAAAGGCGGCAGCAGAAACCACTCAATTCACATGAGGATTTCCATAGATGGGAAAAGTTTGGCAATTAGAGTGAGTCGGGTGGATAAGCAGATAGAGGGATAAGATGACAGCAGGCTAAGAGCAAATTGAAGTGGAAAATGGTTGTACACCAACTTTATCATTATCCAGGGTCCGTCCACTCAAATTATAATTTACTGGCCTTAAACCCAACTTTGCAGACTTTCAGTGTGTTGTTTTTTTCGGGGTTTTTTCTAGTGCACTGAGAAATAATTTTGTATATTAATAAACTGTCAGAGTATATTGCTAATCCTTAAAATTCTATTACAAAAAAAAATTATTGAAACAGGCAAATACATAAATTGAAGGATAATAAAATTACAATGATTTAAAAATGTTTTTAATCGTATTTAATACTCTTTAACTTGGTAAAGGTATTTCTATCTAAAACTTTTAAATAGTGACTTTTTTTAATCATATTTATATTTTTAATTGAAATATTTCAACTTAGATGACTTTTTTACATTAATGACATTATTTTCAATAGGGTTTTTTTCACAATTCCATATTTCCTTATTGTTTGAAGGGTTTCTTTTGACAGTGCATATTTTTCGTATTTTTTCCTAACAAGAAAATACGCACCTGAGAGCGAAATTTGACCCGTGTATCTGCAAGATACATAAATAATAATACCCTTGGTCGGCGGAGGCGGACCAGCTGGGTTAACTGAAGCAAATGGCCATCGATATGGATGCCATTTGCTGAAGTATCCTTGAGGGAAAAATGGGGAAAAGCTAAGCAGGCTTATTTGCTGAGCTGCCCCTCCGAATTTTCCACCCCATCCTTCGGGCTTACGTGACTTTTGTGCCATGTGCGAGTGGTCCTACCATAATTCTTCCATTTTCTCCTCGGATCTCGGGGTGCAAGTGAAATTAATGAAGCAGTTCATCCGACACTGAATTGATTGGCTTATTACGCTGGCAACTTGAGTAGAAATAGAAGTAGAAGTAGGAATTGGAATTTCACTTTCATTCATTCGCTGTCGTTTCGCAGACAACAACGATTTTTTTCATTAGCGGGATAAGTGCTGCGATGACAGGACATTTCTTTTGGCTTGCATGCCCCATTTGTCTACGCATTTTCCGCATTTTCCCCAGGGGGAAAAACATATGGAGAGCTTCTCATAATTGAATTCACATCAAACCGCAAATAACATCAAAATTACATTATTTGCTCTGGCCATTTCCCTCTCCGTTTTTGTGTCCCGGCTCTTAATTGCGAAACATTTCCGATATTTCAGTCACGTTCGAGTGCTATCAATATGCCACGTCAATGCCTCAATATTCGGCATCAATGGCAACTTTTTTGCCAGCCTGCCTCAACATTTCAGCTGCCATGCCATTAATTTTTGGTTTTCCTTTTTTCAAACACACATTTACATAATACCACAAAGTTTGTTTAGGGGTGGATAAACCTCCCGAGTCATTTGTTTGATTAGCAATTTCGATGGGCGTGACAGAAACACTCAGAAGTCGAGTAAAAAGTAAAAGGAAAAGCGAAGATTTCCCATAATCTATAGTATTATTCGAACATATTTTACAGAAAAGCAGAAACAGAAAAAGAAACTGAAACGGCAATTACTAAAGTCAAAATATTGTGTTTCCTGAATTAAACTCAAACTACAATAAAAATACTACGATTTTAAAAATCCATATAATTAAACGGTTAACAAAAGCATCAAATTAAAGTCGACTACACGGGTCTGTTGTTCTTTACAAAGGAGAAAACTACACTATATACGTCTATACACAAATATATACATATATATATATATATATATCAAGAGGCTTTCAAAACTAACATTTAATGTGAACGTATTTTAAACCAATAAACCTATAAGCAACGTATATGTAAAGGCTTCAAATTGAATCAAATGTGACAAAAGCGAATTAAACATTTAGCCAACTGCTCAACCAAGTCAACTAAGTAAATATTTGTTAATTACAAAAGCCAAAAACCAACAAAGACAGCAACACTATACAAATTAAAGCAAACAAAGTTACAAAACGCCGCAATTGAAAGCTTCCATTTTAAAACAGAGAAATATATGTACGAAACTCATTGAATATTTAAATATATGAATTTATGCAACATATATATATATATACGAACCTATAAAATATAAATAAAAAAGTTACTATTTTCTATAAATATATAAACTATATTTACGTGTTGGAGACAAAACAATATTTTAAATGACAAATAAAATCAATTGAGAACAATAAAAGAGCAAACTACCAAACTTTGAACAGAAATAAGAAAGGAAAACTATATTTGAAATAATAACCTAATTGAAATAAATCAAATGCTGCAATAAAAAATACATAAAATATTAACTAAAGTCAAAATCGCACAAAAAAAAAAGGAGAAAGTTTAAAAAAATCACCCCACTTTGGTCACACAAATGCTGCAATATCAGCAACCGCAACAGCAACAACAACAGCAGCAGCAGCAACAGCTACTGCAACAGGAGCAACACCAGCAACTGCAACAGCAGCAGCAACATCAGCAACTACTGCAGCAACAGCTGCCGCAGCAGCGACGGCAAACCTACAAGGAGTACTTGCAGCAACATCAGCAGCAGAAGCAACAGCTGCAGCAACAGCAACCCCTGCGGATATTCCGCGTCCACTACATCCGGCTGAACTCCAAGGACGGAGTGCCGTCCATCAACCAGCAGGTTAATGGCTATCCCAATGGATCCCCCAATGGCGCCAAAATGAAGACCATTGCACCGAATATTCGCCGACGGCGGCGGTGCGACAAGCACCATTTGGAGTTGTACTGCAATGAGACTACAACGCCACCGACAAGTGTCCCCAGCAGCAGTTCCAGTAATCAGTTGAAGCCCGGGGGGCTGAGGATTCGGGAATGCATCACCGCCCCCAGCACGGCGGCCAGTTCGCCGGTGGACGAGCACATGTGCATCCCGGCCCCGCCCATCACTCCGCCGCCCGCCTTCCTCACCGAGGGCTACAAGCGGTCCAGCACCTCGGTCTCCACGTCGGCGTTGCCCAGTGCCACCAGTAGCCAGGAGACCCAGACCCATGGTCAGAGTCACACCCACAACCACGGACGGAGCCAGAACCAGAGCCAAAACCTGAACCTGAACCAGAACCTCAACCAGAGCCATCTGCAGAGCCTGAAACCGAACCTGATGCGCCAACAGAAGCCATTTCCCGTAGTTGCCAAGCCACTGGGTCCGCAGAAGCCCAGGACAACGGCCACCATTGCGGTCACGTTGAACAGCGGCTCAAACAAGCCACGTGCCACGGTCAAGAGGAGTTTAGGTGAGCACCCCCTCCCCCTCCCGAAAAAACACTCGCAGAAAATAGGAAAAGTCTACTAAATGTTGTATTTTGATACAACAAAATATATAAATAAATATAGAAAAACTATTAACTTCTTTGCTCTAAGATAGAAAACACTACTAAATGGCAAATACAAAAATTATATAGATTTTGTTTTTGTTTTTTTTTTTTATTGTTGAACACGCCACGAAAGGATATACCTTGTCTTCGTGTAATGTCAAATTATTTCTAAAGATTCAAAAAAAAAAAAAAAAAAAAGGGTATCAGGTGCTTTATTTTTGAAAAAAAAAAATGAAATGAATATGTTTTAATAAGAAAACTATTAACTCTTGCTATTTTCCTCAGTAATAATAATAATAAACCACAAAAACCCTTAAATCCAGAGGTATTTATGATTAAACATCCTCTTTTTAGCCTAAATGCAATTTATATTTGCTAGTGATTCCATAGGTGTCTCATATCCCTCCTAAAAACTGTTTATCCTGAATTTTCTCTCTGCTTTCGCTGTTCAACGTAAGGATCGTCTTCAATTCCCAAACCTACTCAACGTCTGCGATGAAATATTTGCTTGGACATTGCAGCGTTTTATGGCGGCGGTAATAAAGTGTGCTATATGTGAAAGTGGGCGGAGTGGCGAAGTGTGGGTGTGCTTGGGAATGATGGGCGTGGTCGGCCATAAAGAGGAACCACCGAATTGCAGCTGTGTCCATCGGACGGAATAAATTCCAGGGTCCGAAAGTGGGTGGCTTTGTGGGCGGCGGGGCGATTAGGCTTAAGCCTGCAACTTTATTGAAAACTTTTATGGCCAACAGAAGCTCTGCACTTTTTGTGTCAATTTTGTCGGGGGACAAAGAGCTTAAAGTGTCGATCAGAGCGCTGCATTTGATAGTTTATGGAGTGTCCTTAAAGCGGCTTTAAAACTTTAGTTTGTAAATAATTTTATTTAATAGTTAAGAGGTGTTAAATGTGGAAATTAAAATATTTTATGCAAGAAGTTTTTGAGCTTGAGAGAATTAAAAGAAAAAGTTAATTGGGTTTAATTTTTAAAGATAATTTGGAGTGGATTCAAAATTATTAAGTGTATTTTATATGATAGTAATTTAATTTAATGTTTCATTAATCAGACAGACAACCACATTAATTAATGTGAAAATTAAAAAATTTTAGTTAAAAAGTTTTGAGCTTGGGTTAATTTTGTAAGGCTACTTTGGAGGGGCTTAAAAATGATTTAGTATATTAAATAGTAACATAATTTAATCTTTCGATAGGCAGGCAGACAACCACATTAATTAAATGTAATTACCATCTGAAAAAAAGTCTCTTCGCTCAACCTCATTAACTCCCTTTACACACAGAAATCTGCTGCCCTTAAATTTATTGCCAATCAACGATTGCCGAGGCAAACATTAACTGCCACTTGTCCCTCATCGCATATATTTGCCTGATTCTGCGTGTAACGAACCCCATTATTGCCAGACTGTTTCAGCCGAGTGTGTTTGTGGGTCTGTGGCTCCCTTTTCGAATGATACTCAATAAGGCCATTGAGGCCGATATGCAAATGTTGAACTTCTGCTTTTGCGGGCGAGGCGGCACAAGAAAGTGTCAATAAAAATAAGTTTCAATGCAATTGCCGCCTGCGAGGAGAAATTTCTCTCCCTCGAATTTGATTGCATTTGCTGGCAGCCAAGGATTGCATATTGAGCCGGGCAAAGTTGCCTGAGGCGAGATGAGAAACGAGAAGTGTATATTGTGTAGGTGCTCCGCAGTGTCTGCCAAATGCCATTCCCCTTTCATTTTCCGAGAATTGTCGCTTTGAGTTTGATCGATTTGTGTGCACAATTTGCTCATAATAAAAATTGTATGCTTCGTGTATATTCCAGAAATTCATTTTCTGTGCCCTGGGAAACTAACTTTTGTGATTAGAAATATAATCTAAAAATATTTTCTTAGTAGGAAAGTAGATAATTTAGTATGTATGTTAGCTTTTTATGTTGCCTTTCTAAAGATTTAAAAAAATATGTTTTAAAAACATATGATTTCCTACATAATTTAGTGTACCTACAAAATTCTCTAAAATTAATATGTAGTAATGATTAAAAAAATATTTGATTTTAAAGTTATACATTTTTGTTGCTCAGTTTAATAACAAAATTTCAAAGGTTTAGTACATTAGTACCTAACGTTTTTATTGCAAGAATTTAGAAATACGAATTATGGATAAAGTTTATACTTGATTTTTGAGTAAATTAATACAAAGATTAAATAGTTATTTACGATTTTGATAAGGTAATTCCCATATTAATCCTTTTTTGTTAGACAAAGGACATTGTGAGTATAAAAGATAACTAAACCAAGCTGCTTAATTCCTAGTTTCCCCATCCAATTTTCCTCAGTGCTCTCATATCTTTTGCTGTGCAAATTCCAGGCATGAGTTAGATCATTTCTGTTTGCCCAATGAATTGCATAAGGCCATTTGGAAATTGTGCTTCGCAGCCTTGTGCCAACACGTGTGTGCTGGCAATTACCAGACTTTGGCATGAGTTTGCCAAATTTTCGTGCTCTTGTGCTCGTAAGATGCTGCCACAAAATCTAATTCCGCAGAGCAGGGCTTTCATAATGGATGGGGTGGAAAATGGAAAACGGCAAACGAGAAAATCTATGCCACAGGCGACCAGTGAAAGCAGCTCTCCTTCACCTGCATGTTATGAAATATTCAATCAAAATAAACAATTTTCAAGCCATAAATCCGACTTGCAGTCAAGGTTCTAGTTTTGTTCCTGCCGTTTGCTCCCATTCAGTCACTCAGTCAATCCGGTTAGTCCATATCTAAGGCATTCATTACATTATTAAAATATTTCGATTTTGCATTCAACTAACGAACTATTTGCGCCAGGGCCGGAAAAAGTCTGGTTGGTTTTCCAATGACAGGGGGTCAGAAAAGTCTGGGAAGGCAAGTTTGTTGCATGGGCGAAAACTTTTGCAATTTTCTAGCATAGAAAGGATGGTGCAAGATTTAAATGGAGGGGAGGTGAAGGCGGGCGGCAAATAAAGGGACGAAGTTACGGGGAAAATTCATGAGCTCAAAGAAAATGTCGTTCACAATTTCAAGCTTTTTCTGATAAATCACAACTTATTTTCTGAAATTTCTGAGAAAAAAAAATTTAACTCCAATTCATCCTTTCAAATCATTTTTCTGGAAACCTTTTACACAACGTAATTTAAACTAGGAAAGGAATGTTTTTAGTCAATAAAAAATTTAATGAAAATTTAATATACAAATTTTTGCAGGAAATGCAATAAACCAAAAACCAATAGGGGAGGTTAAAAATACTTAATCAGACCTACTTAATAAAACCATTATGACCATTGAAAATTAATTATACAGAATTCTTTTAGTAAATATTTCAATTGTCCAACCATTTGCACAGCCAACATTAAAATGTTCCAGCAATTTAGCCAATTATGTTGCCTTTTAAACGCTTACAAAAAGCAAATTTCAATTCCATTCACTACAAGTATCGACCCTTGAAACATTCTATTTAATGAATTTTCACACCATTAATAGGGCAAAAGTTTCGCTTTAGAATTGAGTGACCAGCCAAGTTTGCAAGTCGAAATTAATTGGCAATTAATTGAAAGTTGTCCAACTTTTGGGAACTTGGAAGAGGCGGAATTTCCGACCTCATGTAGTTGAGGTCCTTGAAGAAATTGCAGCCTGCAAAAGTTCTCGAGGCGATTGCTAATGTGGCCTGCAACTTTTTGGCCCGAATGGGGAAAACTTTCGCATTATCCTGCGAGCATTACGTAAAAGGGAGCGAGTTAATAATTAAATGCATAAGTGCGAGCTGCCTTTTAATATTTTCACTCTTATTTCTCGGGCCTTGGCGCGTTATAATCCGCAAACATTAATGCAGAGTCATCAGGAGATGGGAAATGGGTTGGGGCATGAATGGGATGGGTGGCAAGCAGGAGCTTTTAATTGAATGCGTGACTTGTTGAAACTTTTTGTGATTTGGCCCGAAACGAGGTGACGATTTGTGGGTGGCCAGCTAAGCTGCTTGGTTGACAGTTTCTGGTCTGATTTGACTGGCTGTCTCGTCTGGCTCCAATATAAACCGATTAAATGAGGCATCAAGTGTGCTTTGTGGCCAAGAGGAGAGCTTTTAATGAAAATAAGCAGATATTGTGGAGCTTGCAGCGATTAAATTAATTGTCCCGGTTAACATTTAATTGCATAATTGCGAGTCGGGGTAATTTTAAGGCTTTATTAAATTAAATTCGCTTAACTAACTGTTGAATCTTCTTCTCTTTATTTTCAGGTGAGTTCGGCATGGAAAAACCAAACTAAATCTGTGGGTAAACTTGAAAAATCTTTACTTTTTTATGTGTACTTTTTATAATCAATCAAAAAGTGTCGGAAACTGCTATCAATTCGAACTGCGGCGTGGTAATCAATTATATGTCACGACAAAGTGAGGACAACTACTCTTTCGGTAGCTCTATTCTTTCCGCTTAACGAGAAAATGAAAAACTGCCAGCTTTCCCCTCTTCTTCTCACTGAGATATAAACAAGAAAATGCAGAAAATGTCAAGCGAAAGTAATCCAATAACATTGTTGGATGGCAGCGAAGTAAGCTTATTTATGATTTGCTGCATTTCGCAGTGGGCGAAGCTATTTCATGTGGAATATCTGCTGCAAACACTGAAACTATTTGCTAAACAATTTCAATGGAAATTACTTTCTGACCGGCGCAAAAAGAAAACAAACAAATGCAAAATGTTGCATACTTATTTGGGGCAGCATTTAAATTGTAATTTTTTGGTTTTCGTTTTTTGTTTTGGAATACTACACAGAAGGAAATGGAATTGATTTGGGAAATAAGTAAATATAATAGCTAGTCCATTTTAAGGCCTACAAAAGAATTGAATACAATTCTTAATTATACTGATTATACTCCATAAATTAAAGTGTGATAATG